TTTGTGTGTCCCTGAGGCAAGGCGAGCGCGCTCCGCTCCGCCGGCGTGGGGCTGCCGCCTCCTCCTCCTCCTCCCGAGGCGGACGCTGCTGCCCTGACGGGGTCCGAGCTAAGCAGGCGACGGCAGCCGCCTCACAGGCACGTTTGCCTTGCGAGGGAGAAAGCCAGCCTCCCTCCCTCCTCACACCCCTGGTCCTCCCTCCTTTTCCTCCCTCCCACCACACACTACTCCGAGTTGCCGGCTTTTCCTCTCCAGCGCGGCGGACTTTGCAAGGCGGCCTACTCCGCCAAGCGCCCGCGGCGAGTGCCTGCCGCCGACGCTGCCGCCCTCCTCCTCCGGTTTTTCTCCGTCCTCCCCGGGCGCCTTTCCAGCGTGCTTTCCTCGGCTCCTCTGCTGGCTTGGAGGAAGGAGTCGGCCGGGAGCGATCGGGTGCTGGCCTTGCTGCGGGCCCCCCAAGGAAAACAAAAGGCTCCGGCTTCGGGAACCGACGCACTGGACCTTTCTGACTGCTGAGGGCAAATTTGAAACGTGGTTACTGAGAAATAAAGACCCTCGTTGCCGTTCTTGGCTAATGTGGTTATTGGCCTGACACCGTTTCTGTGTGGATCAGACGTCCTCCTTTATTTAATATGCTTTTCATTTCCAGCCTTCTTTCCAGGGAGTAGGCGGTTTCTTCCCATTTTATCCTCACAACAACACCCCTGCGAGGTAGATCAGGTTTTGAAAGAGCGGCTACCCAAAGGTCACCTAAGGAGTGCCATGACCAAATGAGTACTTGAACCTGTTTCAATACTCTAAATGGGGTTACTGGGTCAGCAGCCCCCGATTTCAGGTCAAAATAGGAGATCAGGTATAGGGCCCTTGGGACATTACATAAGCGGCCCAGGCCAGTGTTGGGAGCTTCCTCTTACAGTTCTTTCAAAACAGAAAAGCTATAGTGCCATATATCTACTGGCCACATTTGACCTGATGCCATTACACATATTTAGAAAGTCACACCATGTCAAGATCTAAAAAATCCAACCTCTGTAAACGGCAGGAATCTTTACAGAGCATTTCCCCAACACAAAGCTCAAAAGAGTGCTTCTATTCTTCCAAGCAGAATGACGCTGTAGACATCCTTCAGTCTCAAGAGACTATGGTAACGTGCTCTAAATAGTGGTCTTGGAACAGTGTCTAGTGTGGCTGAGGAGGCCAATTCGAGAGTGACAATCCCTTCCGCACTAAAGACCAATACAGTCTGTCCCCTGTCCAGCTCCCTGATTTTGCTGGTTTCAGGATGGCCTCTTTGCCTCGGCCTGCTGGACAAGGGTCTCTTCAAATTGGGAGAGGCCGTGATGCACCGCCTGCCTCCAGGCTGAATGCTCAGATGTCAAGGTTTCCCATCTGTTGAGGTCCATTCGTAAGGCCTTTAGATCCCGCTTGTAGATATCCTTGTATCGCAGCTGTGGTCTCCCTCTGGGTTGCTTTCCCTGCACTAATTCTCCATACAGGAGATATTCCAGTATCCGACCGTCAGCCATTCTCTCGACATGCCCAAGCCAACGTAGACATGGCTGTTTCAGTAATGTATAAGTAAGACATAATAGAAAACCATGGTTTTAATTGCATGTGTGAGTGGAAGATGTTTAAAGCTTTTTTTTCCTGTTTCCGACAGGTTGGCTAGCTCAGAGATTTAGGTATCTGGCTAAGGAGCTGTAACGGGATTCGTCTCTAGCTGGGAGCGCGCTGGTGGTAAAGGCGGGAAAGAGAGTCGGAGAGTGATCGGAACTTTCAACAATAACTTCTTTATTCTTAAATGCGTTCAGTTCAACAGAGTCAAAAGGATCTAATAAATTCACTTCTGGTAACACTTTATATTTCTTTACTTCAACGTTGGGTTACAAAACATCTTTCTTCAAAAGGGAGCTGGGCCAAAACGTTCCCGATCTGTCAACGGCCTCAGTGGAGTACTCCGTACCGCGCAAACCGTGCCACAGCACGGGTGGTGCGCCCAGTCCCTCTCTGGAGGCTTCTGTTGGAAAGAGGGACCAGGTCGAATCACTCTCCTCCCCCCAGGGTGGTTGCGGGGATAAACAACCACCGTCCATTCTAGGAGGTCTAAACCTCTTCCTTTGGTGTTGGGAAAAGGAGGTTCGGGTAATAACCCTCCTCCCCACTGCAGATTAGGGAAAGTCTGCGAGATCCCGGCAGCCATCCCGTGATCGAGCATGGGCTCAGTTTGTACCCCCCAACTCACCATCCCTGCTAGCGCTCCCTCTCCGATCCAACCCCCTGCACACGCTTCTTCACCCCCTTTTATGTCCTCCCAAAGTATCAAATCCAACTCCTCCCCTCCTTCGTCTACCAAGCACACTTCCGCGGGTTGACTAGGTATTACTTCCTCTTGTTCTATCTCTATTAATATGCCCTCCGCACATCCGCTCTCTGTCACGGTGTCAGGTGACTCTGAGGACGGCACACTTGTCTTCTCCACTTCACAGGAGCCAGCGGATGGGACTTTGATTCCCCATGGAGCCTCCTGTAAGTAAAACCAGCCTGGGTAGCCTTGGGCCAGCTGCACAGTCCCAGGGCACTCTCAGAAGAAGGGAATATTAAACCACTTCTGTGTATTCTCTACTTGGAAAATTCTGAAAAGAGTCACAGTAAGTCAGAATTGACTCGATGGCACATGTTTATATTATTACTATTAGATAAGCATAGATAGTGAATGTTATTTCAGATAGGAAAGTGATTGCAGTGGTTTGTCACCTACAGCCCTTGGTTCCCACCTGTGTCAGACCATGGATTCCAATGCCTGAACTTGTTCAGAACTTTATAGACCACCAGAGGAAAATCAGAATCCTGTGTTCATCACAGCTGGCATTTATCCCAATTAAGGGTTAATTCCAGAATGAAACCAGACAATCATTTTCAATCATATCAAAATTCAACTGAGTATCAAGGTCTAAGTCTTTTCATTGTTGCAATAATTCCAGGCAACATCAACTTGTATAATTCTACAAGTTATATTTATTTACATTGCTTCTATGTTCCATAGACTCGTATAATTCTACAAGTTGTATTTATTTACATTGCTTCAATGTTCCATATGCACAAAAATACTTACCAAATATTGAATACATCAAAAATTCTTACAGCTATGAAAAAATCTGTAAACAAATATTGAATACATCAAAATTCTTACAGCTATGAAAAAATCTGTAAGCAAAAATACTGAACAGAAATTTATCCTACCAACTTTTGAAAAGCTGCATTTGTGATTGTCATCCAAAATACTTCCAACTATGAGAATTTAAAGACAATAATACTTTAAAAACAAAATTTAAGTTGTAGGCAGATCAGAAAAATATATTTTTGTAAGCTTTTAGCTATAAAAAATTACAGACAAGAATGAAAATCATATTTGAAAACAAAGGAGCTTATAACCTAAAACGAGCACAATTAAACAGCAGAGAATCTTAAACTATTAAAAATTATTAAAATTAAAAATCCATGAAAGTAAAATATATTGTTAAACCTGTTAGCAGCATATCTAGACACATATGAAAAATATTCTCAGTGCTCACCCAAATCAGTTTGAATCTATGGATGAAAATCCATGTTAATTGTTCTTACTAGCTTCTGGTAAATGAATCTTGCTGCTGCACTGCCACACGATCGTTATTGTTGTCCAGTGTGTGTGGCAAAGAATGAAGTTGCCTTGCTATGATGAGCTGAATTTGTGTGTATGTATCTTATCTCCCTATATTTATAGTTCCTTCAGTTGTTTACCATTCCTTACCAACTATAAATATTATCATTTCCAAGGGCCTGGAACATCATAAAAATCTGATAGGAAACTCTATTGTTCCTGCAGTCTTTGTAACTCCAAGGGCCTGTAATCTGGCAATGTTTTGACTAAAATAACAATGTTTTGACTAAAATTTGTGAAGCTTGGAGAAATAAGGCTTTGTTATAACAGCCTTGAATGTCACAATATTGGAATACCAGTATTTGTAACACCAAGATTTTGGAACTACTGTACAAAGAGTACAAGCTATAAGATCTTCATACACCACCTCCATGTTTACACATTGCAACATAAACATATTCAACTAAGTACTCTGTTAGAGAGTTGGCCCATTGTCTTGCAATGTCTATAGTAAACCATTGTTCAAGTCTCAATTCTAAAAGCACTTTCATTTTGAGGGATACTTGTTCTATTCCCCCCTTAATGATTTTAACTCTCAATACACACAAAGTTTCTTGACAACTGCAACTCTTCCTTGAGAACTCAGCTTTCATTTAAAATAAAAACAAAGGCTTTACTGAAGTGTGGACTCTGTGAACCTACAGTACTTCAGTTAATACATTTGGTTCATAAACAACATAGACACAAGCATTGCAGTCTGTCTCTCTGTATTATGGGCTCTTTCACGTATAAAGCAAAAAAGAAAACATACGTATAGAATATCAGGCACAAAGAAAAGAAAAATAAATATATTTTTTAAAAAAATTATTTTAAAAAAGTGTTGTGGCACCTGAAAGACTTTAAGCTTTTGTGGACCTTCTTAGCCCACTTCATCAGACCTATGGAATATAGAAGAAAATGTGCACAGAATAAAGCTGATGCACTCCTAAGTTGAGTGCATTTTCCACCATGCTGGTTACAAAGAAATACACATTTCTTACAAGCTTCAAACGGAAAAACAGCAGCCAGACTGTGTTAGTCTGTTTCAGGCATGTATACAATTAAAACTACATACAGTACATAAAAACAGAACCATTTTTGCACTTTGAGATTCATCTCAGGACGGCTCCACTGGTCTGGAAAAGTAATCCTCAAAAAAGTTTATCACAGACCTCATCCTCATTTCTTTCCAGCAGAAAGAAAGAAAAGAATAATTGCTAGTTGGTCAGAAACAGTCATTGTCACTCTCTAAGGCGTATCTCTATGGGCAAGAGGGATCGTCGCCGAGCGTCGCGTGGCGAATGGCGTCGGCCAGGTGCGTCACCGAGGGAGCGTCGGAGGAGGGCCTAGTGCGCATGAGCAGCTCGTAAGCGGCCTATTCCTTTCCGGTCGGCGAGGGAGCGCGGGCGGCGGCGGCAAGTCGACATGGCGGGGGCTGCGGGCGGCGCGACGGGCTCGGCCCGAAAGCGGCTGATGAAGGAGGAGGACATGACCAAAGTGGAGTTCGAGACCAGCGAGGAGGTGGACGTCACCCCCACCTTCGACACCATGGGCCTCCGCGAGGACCTCCTGCGCGGCATCTACGCCTACGGTGCGGCGGGAGGGAGGGAGGGAGCGAGGAGGAGCGCGGGCGGCGAGGGGACCGACCCCCTCCCTTGGCCCGTCCCTGAGGAGAAAGAGGCTGGGATGGAGTAGGGGAGGATGGGGGGGGTGTTATCGTTTATTTATTTATTTAAAATCTTTCTGTCCCGCCTTTCTCCCTTAAAGGAGCCAAGGCGGCTGACTGGACTCCCGAGGGGTGGAAGGGGAGGCCTCTGCTTTCCTGGCCACGGTCGCCCAGGGGTTGGAGGCCTCTGGCTGCGGAGCCAGAGATTGGGAGTTGAATTCCCCGATGGGCCTCCTTGGCGGCAGGGGTTGGGCCGCCCATCTGGTCTATACGACCGCCTAGAGTGGTCGTATAGACCAGATGGGCGGGATACAAATCAAATCAAATAAATAAGTAAATCCGTAGGGTTCCTTCCAACTCTGCAATCCTAAAAAGATGCTAATGATTATTATTGTTGCTGCTGCTCTTGTTGTTATTATTCATTCCAACTGTGAACTCAAGGTTCTTTCACAATGGGGGGGGGGAGAGATAAAAATATTTTAAACAAACAAACAGTATTTCCTCCAGATGTGGAGGAGCCCCAACTCTCCTCCACCCTTGTTAGCATAACACGGGCATTATAATAAGCCAGGCCATTAGAAGCACCACAAGGTTCTGATCCACGTTTCGCAAGGGATGTTAAGGGTCGTCAGCGTGGACTTCTTTAAAAGGGGGCAGAGAAATAGCAGAACAGCTTTTGGTCAGCATGGAGGTGTATTGAGTGTCAAAAAAGAAAATAGCTCTGAATGCCAGCTGATGAAGGACAGAAGCAGGAGAGTCGCATTGTGTTGCTGGAGGCCACGGTGGGTATAGAATGCTGGGCTCCCAGGGACTTGGGTTTGGGTATAGTTAGCTTTTTAATAAGTTCTAAATCCAATATGGAGGGAAATAAGTCTTGTAAACAAGTGTTGTTAAAAAAATCTTGCAAAACATTTGTTGGAGGATGACGCAAAGGACAAAGAGGGTGCAGAATGTAGTATATTACAGTATTTCGCAGCCTGCTTGGTTACTACACGAGGCATAAAAAGGAACAGGGTGCTTCATTCCTCCTTATGAGTCCCTGCGTTTGTCTATACAGAATTGGATGCAGGCTTCTCTTTGCAGTTCCTTGTTGCCTGTAGTTGTCAGGCTAGCACTTAAATATGAGAGATGCTTATTTTTCAGCTCACAGTCAAGACATTGTTTCACTGACACATCCTGCAGAGATATCTATCACTGTATGCTTGGTGAGAAACACATAGATGGTCTTAGGCTTCATCTCTGTTTGCAGGGATGTATATGCACGTATGTGTGGAGGGCCACACATGAGGGTCTGAATAAGGGTGTGTGCTGTTTCCTACATTGGAATGGTTCCTGCATAATATCCATGTAGGATAGGGGATAGTCCTAGATGCTGTGGTTCAGTTGAGTGGGACTGTCACTCTTTATGGAGTGGAGCAGGGAAAAGTGTAGAATGGGCAAGTCAGCTTTGTCTAACTGAATAGGCGGGCACCTTGTCTATTCAGGAACAGTGTAAGTAGAAAGAATTGCAATCTAGGTTTGACATTTCTTAGTCTTTCATTGAAAGGAGGGAGGGGAGGAGACTTTATACTCTATATGAGGTAAATCCCAAGTGTATGCATTAAGGATTGACAAGCCAGGAAGAACAGAGCATACTGCAGTTGGGGTTTGTTACTGTGCAAATTGACCCAGCTCATAGTTGCCAATAGATGACAGAGCTCATCTTGCACTCTGTTTATTGTAAATCCATCCATGCTATCTCTGATTCATTTTTGACCAGTTAATTTGAGTTTTTGTAAGGGTAGACATGTATACACTTTGGTCATTATTTCTTGTATGATAATTGCATGATTATTGCTTGTATGATAATTGCATGAAACTTTTTAATACCCTGATTTCTAAATGTTTAGTCTATTCGTAGTACTTTGGTCAAAGTTTTAGGATACAAGTTAGAATTGATGGCAACATCTAATAATCTTTTAAAATGAATTTTCCAGGCTTTGAGAAACCTTCAGCTATCCAGCAGAGAGCAATCAAACAGATAATTAAAGGAAGAGATGTGATTGCACAGTAAGTGGAATTATTGACCAAAATAAAAGTCTGAGGGGTTTACTTTGGGATTTTGCTATCACATGTACAAGAAGGTAGATGGGACATTGTCCTTAGTGCTGTATATTGCCAAATAATAAGGAATAGTGCATGGAATAAAAAGGGTTAAACTAAATTTAATAGAGCAGTCCTAAATGAGTTGACTTATAGTAAATCTCACTCACTCCAGTGGGATCTGTTTCCTGGTGAATATGCTTAAGATCGCAGCCTCCAATATGAACCATTTAAAAACCATTGCTTACTTTGTATGTTTCACTGTGTAATGTGTATTTCTTACTGACTATACCCATTCCTGGACGTGTTTGATTTGGCCACAGTGACACATGCCTTAATTACATCCCCTTTGATTACTGTAACATGCTTTACATGGGGCTGCCTTTGGAAAGTACAGTATTTAGAAATTCAGCGTAATTACCAAAATGGTAATTACCTGTCAAAAAGCCATTTTGATATTCCCAAATTTATTCTTATTTGTACATATAGTTGACTGTTTATGCTTTGTTAAGATACGGCTATTAAAATACTGCTTATTTTTTCTAGATCACAGTCTGGGACAGGAAAAACAGCAACATTTTCCATCTCTGTTCTACAGTGCCTCGACATTCAGGTAACTTTGAAACATAAATGATTTTCTTTGTGAATGTCACGGTTCCCCAGTAAGGCCTCACTCGGCTTCACTGCTTCTTCTTGTCCTTGGGTGGAAGAGCCCAAGCAGGAGTCAGACATGGTGAAGGCTACAGGAAGTTGACAGAAACTATGTTCCTCCAAACCCACCTAGTCTCTCACTGCTCCCACACAAAAACACTGAAATATCCAGACAGCTATTGAAAGGATTTTAGTAGTTTATTAAAAAGAAAGAAAGAAAATATATAAGGGCAGATGTTCCAAATGGTTACAAGATAAGGTTTTTCAAAATGCAAGAACACTTGTGGAGATAGACTTCACAGCATTTAAGCAGAAAACACACCAAAAATGATAAAAGCTAGTGTGCCCTATTTAATATTCATACCTAAGCAGTGGGATAGCATCCCTTGAAGGCATCACAGAACAGCAGGGGAGCAAAGCACGTTTATCCTCTATGCCCACTAGTTTCTCCAAATCCATTTTATACAAGTAAATGATCCATTACACACCTGTTGCCAACAACATCTTAAGCCTGTTTCATATTCCATCAGGACAAAAGCCACTTTCTTGACTTCTTTCTATTCCCACCACCAAATCTGCATAAAACTCTGGGAAGAAACAAACTGACTCCTTTTAAGTCAGGGATTACAGTTAGGGTATTAGAGTCCTTGTGAGGTGGCTTTGATATGCCCTCATATAAAATATAAGCTAAGCATGGAAGCATCTGTTCCTTATTCAGTTCTTTCTTTGAAGTGTTTCGTAACAGGAGATTAAGTTGAAAGTGTGAACTGCCTGTTTACATGCTGACCTCTGTCCATTTGGCCAGTTTCCCAGGCATAGAAGTGTAAGCAAAGAAGTGTCCAGCAAATGAATTCCACGTTTCATATTTCCCAATTTCAGTTTCTTCACAGTGAAGATGCAAATGATATTTTGACCAAAAGTAGTGCATTGTTTTGTTGCGTCTGTGCTGATCTTTCTAGATTTGTGTCCTTGTGGAATGCTGGACTTCCCACTCCTCCCCTCGTTGAAAAAGCCGTGGTGTATTGCTCTTGAAATACTTTGAATATCAGAGGTCAGAGAAGAAATGGTGTCTAACATTCACTGCATTTCATTGTTTTAACCAGGTTCGGGAAACCCAAGCTTTGATCCTGGCACCTACTAGAGAATTGGCCGTACAGATTCAGAAGGTAAGCAAGAGCTTTCTGATAGGTAAATTATGGAATGAGGCTGCATGCAAAGAGCATATGTAACAACACTGTACTTGCTCCTCTGCTAAAAGCTGCATCTTTGTCACTTCAGATGCCTGTTTGGCATTTAGCAGTAACATTGAGTAGCAGCTTGAGTGCTTTATATGTAGGGCTCATGTTAGGGCTGTTGCAAATGTTCTTGTACATTTTGTCCATAACAAAGTGGTGTTGCATGGAAGCACTACCACGGAGCTAGTGATCTAATTTGCATTCTGAAAGTGTGTTGTTTGCATCCAGTGAGTCCAAGGAGGCACTAACCTCTGAAATTTTGAGTAATTACTGCTGATTTAGTAATTACTGGTGCTGATATCTGCCTTGGGGGTCCCTTTAAAAAACAAAACCCTTAGCACAGCATATTGAACAGTGCAAAGTGTTTAGTGTAAAGTGTCAGGATTTGACTAGATTTCAATTTCTTGCAATGTCCCCAGGTTAAAAGGCTGGGAAATAGAAAGGTGCTTAGACCAGATCATTTAATACTTTTAGCACTGCACTGTAGCAGATTAAGTAAGCCAGGAGTTTCAGCAGCAGAGGTTTGCTGCTTTGCTAAAGTGCCTACTCAAATCTATTGTAGATAGATATAAGACCTGGGACATCACCTAAAGGAAGCATGATGTGCAATCTTTCTGAAGCTGTGTAGCTTTCAGTCCTGTCAGTGTTTGGTTGGGAGCCTCCCTCTTTGTATATCACTTCATAATGGAAGAAATGTGGGATGTAAATGAAACAAATAAAAATCCATTATTTACTGTTTTGGCTCACAAAATGTTACAGAAATTGCTGGAGGACCAAGAAGGGAATCAAACATAGAGAAACAAAAAATTGTACACATATGGGAGGATTCGCTTTTTTCAATCTGTGCCGCATGCCCACACATATAGCTTTTTGGTAAAGTATTTACTCTTGCCAGGATTCCCACTTCAGTAATAGTTCAGGCTTTGTACTGCTCTTGCTCCTCCCAAAACAATTTGTATCCTGTTCTATAGGGGCTTCTTGCTCTTGGTGACTACATGAATGTCCAGTGTCATGCCTGCATTGGTGGTACCAACGTTGGTGAAGACATCAGGAAACTGGACTACGGACAACACGTTGTTGCTGGCACACCAGGGCGTGTATTTGGTGAGAATATGATTTTGCCTAATACCTGTAGTTTTCTTCACAGAGAATTCAGTCTGAGATAATTTTTAGCTTTCGGTTCTTTTCACTAGGCTGGGTGCTACAACTGTGTTCCACTTTACCTTGACTCTTCTTTTTCCTTCCTTACACTTTGAACCATATGTGAAGAACCTTTTCATTAGTTTAGGCCAGGGGTAGCCAGCTCACAAGCCATTTCTAGGACCAATTTCTCCAACACTCAGCTTCTGTGAGCGTTGTGATGGATGCATTTTGTCTGGACAGAGCAGCACGTAGGCTTCCTTCTGAGCTAGCCTTCATCCTACTACTGCTTCTCTAGGTTCTGCCCTTCCCCTTTACATAGTGTGATGAAATGATGACCTCAACATGGCTTCTTTGTTTTCTTATTTTCTTATACAGTGGTGCCCCGCATGACGACGATAATCCATCCCATTGAAATCGCTGTTTAGCGAAATCGTCATCATGCGAAAACCCTTTCCCCATTGGAATGCATTGAAACCCAGTTTTATGCATTCCAAAGGGGAAAATACCTCCTCGTCCAGCAAAGATCAGCCATAGGGGAGCCATTTTGCGAGCACCAATCAGCTGTAAAAATGGCTGCCCTGTGAAGCATGGGTCCGGAAAACACAGGGCAGCCATTTTGCGAAGCCGGAAAAAAGTAATTTTGCGAACAAACGGTTCGCGAAGCATGGACCTAATTGACGTCCAGCAAAAATCCCCCATTGGAATGACTGTTTTGCGAATTGCTGTAGCGATTGCAAAAAAGTCATCATGCGGATTCATCGTTTAGCGGAGTCATTGTCTTGCGAAGTACCGCCGCATACATAAATTTAGGAAATGTCCCTTATTGGTGCTAGAAGTCGCCCAGGATTTCCAGAAACTAGCAACATTTCCAGGGTTTCCTCCAAAGATGTACCAGATGTAGCATCTTCTTACTTAATGCTGGGTGGATTCCTTAACCTAATTCTTTTCTGTCTTTAGTCAATGCACATGGGATGGTCTTGGTTACCAGGCAACTTCTTTCTGGGGTGATTATAGCTGTTCCTCCACCCAAGTGGGAGAATTTGGTTGCCCCAATACTAGGAGTACCAACCATATAAAATAACTAGAGACGGGTATTAGTTCTGCATAATGACTGCTGTGAAATGAGCCTGGGAGGAATGATTTTGCTTGGGCAATGCTGACAGAAGATAAAATCTGCAGTACCCACCCTGCTCTCAGATAGGTTGTTGAAAACCTGTCGTGAAGGCAAGAGAAGAGCTTTCTGACACAGTGAGGGCTTGCGTGAGTAGCAGCCTTTAATCTAAAGATGGGCAACCGGGTACTCTCTGTATGCTTTGGATTGCAAATCCCACATTCTTACCTCTGGCCGTTCTGGCTAGACTTAATGAGAATTATAGCCTGAAGCACTGAGCATGCCCACTTGCTTATTCCTGCTTTATAAATGCCTTAATGTCTAAACATGTAATTGGAACTGGTTCTAAGGAAAGTGAGAGAGAAGCAGCTTTAACTGTTGTTGCTTTTGTAAAGTTTGAACAGTCATATTGGATTGGTTTTTGTGCCTGGTCTTACTGTCATTAAATACCAAATGTTCCTTGCTCCTCTGATCCACCAGCTTGCAGGACAGGAAGTGGTTCTTAGTATCTCTGGCTAGTCTCTTTCTTGATACAAACTTGAAATCTTTCAGATATGATTCGTCGCAGAAGTCTAAGAACACGAGCTATAAAAATGTTGGTTTTGGATGAAGCTGATGAGATGCTTAATAAAGGTAAAGAATACTTCTTGAACATAAAGCCATATGGGTGAACAACATGTAGACTTCCGCATGGCCGTTGGCTGTCTGGGACTGATTAGAGTGTGATATGGTAAGCCTTGGACAATCACATGTGAGACAAAAAGTAGCTAGATAGCTTAAGCAGGACCTTTTCTTTAACATCGGGCATTTGTGTTATGATACTTTAAACTTCTTTTTTCTAATGGTTAACTCTTCTCTCACCGACATTCTACACTCAGTCCATCTTCCCCTCTCATACCTTGTCCGTGTGTTAACATCTCACTAGCATCTTAGGCAGATGTATTTTTCTCACAGTGCAGTGGGTTTTAACTGGTGGTTTTTGCTATTCAAACAGTGTAATCCAGTAGCTACAGGTTCGCTAGTAGTGCTAATTTAAGCCACTCCGTCAAAGCCATAGAAAAGCATAAACTGCTTGGAAAATGTCTTACAGTATACATTGTTGTTTAGTCATTAAGTCGTGTCTGCCGACATTCTACACTCAGTCCATCTTCCCCTCTCATACCTTGTACATGTGTTAACAGCCATAGAAAAGCATAGACTGCTTGGAAAATGTCTTATACATTGTTGTTTAGTCGTTAAGTCGTGACTGACTCTTCGTGACTTGTACATAAAGTTGCCTAAATGTGTTTGCCTGCAGTGAGCCTTTTTCAGAGTACATATGCTTAGAAACACCTTCCAGATGCATCAGAATAGATTGACTATGAAAAATTACATTGTTCTGCCTCAACAATAAATTGTAAACTAGGTTCTAGAAATATTGTTGTATAACGTTTACTATGCCTTTGTTCTTATGAGTTATTGGCAAGTTAACAGAAATATTTGGCAAGTTGGCAGGCAGGACCTATGACCAAATATCTTTTCCAAACTGTAGTCTTGTTCACATTGGAGCTTCATGTCAGTACAGTGGACCCTTGACTTACATATTTGGCAAGTTGGCAGGCAGGACCTATGACCAAATGTCTTTTCCAAACTGTAGTTCTTGTTCACACTGGAGCTTCATGTCAGTACTGTATGTAGAGCAGAACAATGCACTGCAAAGATTATCCCGATGAAGCAGTCAAAGATGATGTCTACTTTGTTGATTTTTTTAGTTTTGTAGTTTGAAAGCAGGAAAACTTACATTTTTTTAAAATTAGGGCAGTCTTTATTACAAATACATTACACTTATTTCCAATGTAAAAGCTGCAGCTCACAGATGTGAGCACTAATCTGTGTTGATCAACTAGTATAGTATGGCTGGAATAAATTTGGGGTAGATTTCATTTTTCTTTGTTATAGCAAATGTGCTGGTTCTATAGCTCAGATCAGCAAGATATATAAAGACTCTCAGTTTTTCCTTTGTGTCGTCAATGTTATTTCCAGTGTAAAAGCTGCAGCTCACAGATGTATAGGATGGGCACTGATCTGTGTTGATCAACTAGTATAGTATGGCTGGAATAAATTTGGGGTAGATTTCATTTTTCTTTGTTATAGCAAATGTGCTGGTTCTATAGCTCAGATCAGCAAGATATATAAAGACTCTCAGTTTTTCCTTTGTGTCGTCAATGTTGTTTATTTGGTTTGTTTAGGTTTCAAAGAACAGATTTATGATGTGTACAGATACCTACCTCCAGCAACACAGGTAGTTTTGATCAGTGCCACCTTGCCACATGAGATCTTGGAGATGACCAACAAATTTATGACTGACCCCATCCGCATTTTGGTAAAACGGTTAGTGATTTTAAGAGGGGTCTTTTTTGGCCTTTCGTTAATGATTCTGTAATAGTAATTTTAATATGAAAGCACAGAAAGCACTTCATACCTAAATTAGAATAGAGTGTCTATCTGAATCCATGTCGTTGTCTCCTGAATAGTGAATTACAGATAATGTAACTCTTCTTGGAGCCCTTTCAGCAGCAGACTTTGCTTTTCAACAAAAGATTATGGGTAAAAAACTTCAAATAACAAACAAGTTCAAAAATATTTTTCTGCCTCCTTTGTCCAGTGATGAGTTGACTCTGGAAGGGATTAAACAGTTCTTCGTGGCAGTAGAGCGAGAAGAATGGAAGTTTGATACTTTGTGTGACCTCTATGACACACTGACCATTACACAAGCTGTCATCTTCTGTAATACCAAGAGGAAGGTACGTAAGCAAGTGATATTACATGATCCATTCAGGTTATGAGTAGAATTATATGCAGGCTTCAATTTATTTATTTATTTGATTTATACCCCGCCCATCTGGCCTATAAGACCACTCCGAGGGTTACATATGACTCTGGGAGGCAATGGAAGACAGGAGGGCCTGGCATGGTCTGGGCCATGGGGTCACGAAGAGTCGGACACGACTTAACGACTAAACAACAAAATCTTTGGATAACTACAGTCATAGTCTTAAAAATAATTTTGGCTGCTTTCTGAATCAGGTTGACTGGCTGACTGAAAAGATGAGAGAAGCCAATTTCACTGTTTCATCTATGCATGGCGACATGCCTCAAAAGGAGAGGGAATCTATCATGAAAGAATTCAGATCAGGAGCAAGGTAAGCCTCCTAGTTTCCTATGCTAGAGCACACATTAGCCTTTGTAGGAATGCTTACAGAGAGGATTACAACAGGTAACCTGATAACCTGAAACCCTACTTAAGATTTCAAGACTATATTTCTGGTACAATTTACAGTTTGTTTTGAAACTATCTTGGGTGAAAAGGACAGTTGGTGATCACAGATATTGATTGGCATGGCTGATATGTCTTTTGTGAATAGTACATGAAAATGTTGAAGATGGCAACTCGTTATGTTCTTAGACCAAAATCTTCTGAAGTATTTTATTTCAAATCCAGAGTCTATGCCCTATTGTCTAGTTTGTCACCATGTTTAATCTAATCCTAAATTATGTCAGTCTGTTGTGCCACGTCAGTGTTATGGTAAAGTTGCTCAGTTCTTATGTCTAAATTCTTGTTGATCATAAACTAACAGATATGAAGAACAAATAATTTGTATTCTTGAAGGCTTTCATGGCCAGGATCTGATGATTGTTGTAGGTTTTTCGGGCTCTTTGGCATTGTTCTCAAGGTTGTTCTTCCTAATGTTCCACCAGTCTTACCAGAGCAGAGACAGAGTTCTGACTCCTGTCCTCTGAAGATGCCGGCCACAGAGAGACTGGCAAAACGTTAGGAAGAACAACCTTCAGAACATGGCCAAACAGCCTGAAAAACCTACAACAACCAAGAAATAATTTCTTACTATTTATCTTGATCAGGAAGATCCATGCACAACCGTGCTTATTTTGCTCAGATGGTTTTTTTTCCTATGTAGTGAAATGTTCCCCTTTTCTTTTTACAGCCGGGTGCTTATTTCTACAGATGTTTGGGCCAGAGGCTTGGATGTACCTCAAGTGTCCCTAATCATTAACTATGACCTGCCCAACAACAGAGAATTGTATATACACAGGTGTGTATACGTGTATATTAAATTGTAGTCCTGTTTTTAATAGGGGGCTTCAGAAAAGGATTTTCTGGGCTTTTATCTCCTTACAACTAAAAAAGAGTAGGTGGAACCCTGGATACTTTGGGGGGGGGGATATTTAAACAAAATTGATTCCAGAGTAAGTGATGGACGTTTTAAAAAGAAAATTTTACTGCTTTCTATTGTCATTCAAAATAGTCCTATTAAAATGTTAAATAAAAATAGTCTTGTTCCTAAATATGCAAGATGGGCAGGTGTCTTTGGTACATGGTGTTTTTCACTGTAATTCAGGGACAGTGAAAACATTGCCCTCCACATATTTTTGGACTGAGGTTCATAGCAACTTCAACCAGCACTGCCAGTGGACAGGAGTTAATATAATAATAATAACTACAAGTCCAGCAACATACATTAAGTGCTTACATTCTGTTTCCCTACTATAGCTGTTTCTTTTCTTTTTAAATATCCTACCTCCATACCAAGAAAAAAGCACTCAAGATACTGTTTTATTTGCTTTGCATGCTGTGTTCACCAATTCTGTACCCTACTCTTGTCCCGTCAGGATTGGGAGATCAGGCCGTTATGGCAGGAAGGGTGTTGCTATCAATTTTGTAAAGAATGATGACATTCGTATTTTGCGAGATATTGAGCAGTACTACTCCACTCAGATTGATGAAATGCCGATGAATGGTGAGTATTTGATTTCTTGCATTTTTGCAAAGCTTTGTCTCATAGGTAGGTTATAAGCCAAAATAGCACTTTATTGAACAACCGTTTATACAGAGAAAGAAAGACATGTGCTTCTTGTGCACTATCCAAAGACAATGAGAGGATTCTTTTATTACAGCATTTAAAAAATCACAAATGAGAGTTAACTTTCAACAGTACTATATATCAGGCTGGCCATTGCAGAGAAGGGGGTAGTGCAGAAGAAAAATGAAAGTTCTAAAATCCATGGCCAGATGCATAAATCAGATTTCCTTGTTTCAAGCAAGTTTTAAAATGAGGACTGCAGAAATAGCTTAGAGGTGGTAGGCTTCAGGTTTGACTTCTGGCAACCGTTTGTCTAGTGAGATTGGGAGTGCCATTCTGCTCCATAATGCCAGCGGTGAAGTCTGAAACCTGCCACTCTGAGCTGTTTCTGCTTAAAACTTGCTTGAAACAAGGAAACTCGTCTCGTACGCTTGACCATGGATTTTGGACTTTACATTTTTCTTGTGGATCACTCCAAATTCTGTAATGCCTGGTCTGATGAAGATTGCATCAGATTTGAAAGCTAGCTTATGATTTTTAACCACTGTTTATTGCATAGATGCTGATGGTAGGCTTCTGACTGCAGAACTGCTTGACAAAAAGTCCTCTTTGCATCACACACAATGCGTAAGCTCTGCAGGACCAGCAAACACTTCTGATGTGTAGGCAATTTAAATTGGACACATCAGCTTATATAGTGGAATTTTACTTTTCCTAGAGCAGAGACTGGGACTCTTCTGGGACAGAAAACAAACTTTTCTAAGGGAGGTAGTGTGATACAGCATTCCCACCCCCTATCTTCTGAGAACTTACTCTTCGCATCTGGAAACTTTGCATTTTATCTGCTCTAGTTTTTAGCTGAGGAATCAGTGGCAGGGTTGCTTTTTGAGATGAAAATTCAAGACAGTTTGCATTAATAATAATAATGTGGCATCGTGTTGATTTCAACCTGCAGCAACTCTTCTCATATAGAGTTTTCTAGGTACAGAGTACTCAGAAGTGGTTTACTAGTCCCTCTTTGTTGGTACTCTTGAGACTGTATAGCTTACCTAGGACCACATAGCTTAGCTTTTTTCCTGGGAGTGAACTTCTGGCCCCTGGCTTTGTAGCTAGCTGCCCCAGCCTACTCAGCCAGCTCAAGACAGTTTGCTAGATTTAACTGTAAAATAGAGTTAACTAAACAGGAGCTTAAAACATTTATAACAATAACTATAAAAAGTACAGTCATAGTTGTTACTTCTACCAGTACAGCAGAACAAGAAACTAAGCCGATCATTGTAAGGTCTTAAGTTCTTGGCTGGTCCATGAGAACCTGCATCTGTGCACTCTTAGTTTGTCAAACAAATTTTGTTTGCAGCATTTAGTTTTGCCTTCTCTCAAGCAGCATATGTGGCTTTCCCCTTCTCCATTTTATTTTAACAACCATTTGAGATGTACTTGAGGTCCCTCAAAGAACTTTCTTAGTGGGCTTTGAGAACCCAGATCTACACTATCTAGTTTGTGATGCTTATACTAGTTAGTTAGATGTGAAGATGCACAGCCTTAAGTTGTCAACAGCCTGTCTTTTCATATAAACCTTGATCTGAATTTAAGACATTTTCTCCTGTGAACAAACTGTGTCACAGAATAAATGTTGCAACAATAAAATACATTATTTGACCTCATGCAGTTCACTTAGTAATGTGGTGGATGTGAGAGTGAAGCATGACTTTTCAAATGTTGTTGGACTACAATTCAGATCAGCCTGATGCAGTGCAGCCAGTAGTGAGGAATGCCAGTTGGTGCACACCAAAATCCTGAGGTTCATACTTTGACCACTCTTGTGATAGATGTAGATAGTCCATGTGCTCATCACTAATTATTTTGCCAATTCTTCTTTCTTTAAAAATACTTAGTTGCTGACCTCATTTGAAGAAAGAAGATGGGCCTAAGAGAAGACTTCTTGTTAGCTGTGATTTGTTACTCAATAGCACCCGACTGCTTTTAATTTCATTTATGGACTTTTCCCTTAAAATCTTTACTAGCATAATTCTGAAATGGTTAGCTGTACACCTTACTCCAGGCTAAGCAGCTATTGTTAAATACAGTACTGAAAGACCAGTGTGAAAAAATTAGAAGCTGTCAAGAATCTTTTTATTTTTAACAGCCTTGTTGTGGAATTTCCTAAAGGTAGAGAATTATTATTTTAATTTTCTTGATGGAAGCTGTAAAGTAACATCTCTGTAAATAAGCTGTCAACCTACATGCTTTCCCCCCCCCCTCATTAAACAGTGATGTTTTGATACAAATGTATTTTCTAATTCTTGGCAATAAGGTTTTTTTACCCACCCAAAGCACATCTTGGTCCATAACTTAGTTTTTCTCTTCTCTCTCCATTCCCTTCGGGAGTTCCCAATTTAGGACATATATATCTGGTGTCATATTACATAATAGGCAAGTGCACACTAACACGATGGTAAATTATTGCATTCATTCTAGATAGGATTCAGGATACCATTTTGGGGTACATTTCTTTGTAATTTAGCACTCTAGTCCCCAGCATTCTCCCAAGAATTCTGCCAGTTACAACCCACAACACAGATCTGTAGGCCTCTAGTTTTGCCCCTAAGAGAAAGGATTATAAGCTGATGCTGCCATGTTCTTAATGGAAGAACAAGGAAAGTGCCAGTGTGTTTCCTGGGGGTCACACCTCTTCAGGAGGTGCCCTCTATAGAGCCTAATGGATAGCATGGCTATGGACTCCCATTGTCCTCCATGCTGGTCAGTCAACCAGTTATGTGATTGGCCAATGGGGGCCAGGCCCTTCCGGGCACAGTCACATTCACCCTACCCAGTAGACAACAGATGACATTCCTTGAAGAACTACTATTGCCGCTTTTTTTTAAATGAAAAGGAAGCCCTTCTCTGGGGGGGGGGAAGAAATCCAGAGGCTGGCAGATGTGTGTTTAAGGACAAAACTTTGACATTTTGCTTGGAAAAAGGGGAGAGAGGAGTCCAAGACTATGGAAGAACACATCAGAGACACTATTTCGTGCTCTGCTGCTTTTAAAGCAGTTATTAAAAAATGCAAGGAAGATCAGTTTACAACTGTTAATTACAAAATAAATTGGTTGTTCTGGGTCTTTCGGGCTCTTTGGCCATGTTCTGAAGGTTGTTCTTCCTAATGTTTCACCAGTCTCTGTGGCCGGCATCTTCAGAGGACAGCAGAGAGTCCAGAAGATGCCGGCCACAGAGACTGGTGAAATGTTAGGAAGAACCACCTTCAAAACACGGCCAAAGAGCCCGAAAGACCCACAACAACCATTAGATCCCAGCCATGAAAGCCTTCGCAAATACACCAAAATAAATTGTTAATTTGACATGGAGAATCATACTGTAAGGTAGGAACGGGTATATTTCTTTCCATTGCCACATTCAAGAGTTAAGAATAGGGGGCTGACATATTTGTTCAGCTATAATTGCTCAGATGCACGAGACAGTACACAAGACGGGGGGGGGGGGTTTAGCCACTGCAATTCCTTAAATGTGTTTGCTTTGATCAAGGTGAAGTACTTACCCCTGCCATGACTACTTACCCTATTTAAAATATAATAAACACAGGAAGAGAATATGGATAGGATTATAGACAGGTCAAATGTTTCACAATTAAAGTGGATTGTGGCCAGCAGTGGCACCTGTTCATGTAAACTACTGCCTCTCCTGAAGCTTACTTTGTACCATTACATCTCACCGTTGCAAACTTACCAAGGACAGAGTGGTGCATAGTTTACTTCACAAATTTAGTTGGTACATGTTTTTTGAAGGCTGGATATTTTGTCAGAGAACATTAAACATGAAAACCTACCAAAGTATTTTGTGGGAAAAATCAATGCAGAATTTCATTTTCAGTCTTCTACAGAACTCTAACCAAAAGCATACTTGTGAAAAATACAATGTAAAGATACGTGATTAGCAGTTTGATTGACATGGAGTAACTTTCTTAGGGTCCATGATCACTGCAGATGGTGACAGGGGACACAAAATTAAAAGACACTTGTTTCTTGGGAGGAAAGCGATGACAAACCTCAACAGCATCTTAAAAAGCAGAGACATTACCTTGCCAACAAAAGTACGCATAGTCATAGCTATGGTTTTTCCAGTAGCAACATATGGAAGTGAGAACTGGACCATAAGGCTGACTGCCGAAGAATTGATGCTTTTGAATTGTGGTGCTGGAGGAGACTCTTGCGAGTCCCCTGGACTGCAAAGAGAACAAACCTATCCATTTTGAAGGACATCAACCCCGAGTGCTCACTGGAAGGACAGATCCTGAAGCTGAGCTCCAATACTTTGGCCATCTCATGAGAAGAGAAGACTCCCTGGAAAAGACCCTGATGTTGGGAAAGTGTGAAGGCAAGAAGAGAAGGGGATGACAGAGGACCGAAGCGACCAACAGGAATTTGACCCAACTCCGGGAGGCAGTGGAAGACAGGAGGCCCTGATGTGTTCTGGTCCATGGGGTCACGAAAAGTTGGACACAACAACTAAGGCGCAACAGCAGCTGAATTTAAACTAGAATACAAAAAGTCAACCTTGCATTTATCTAGGAACCAAAATGTGGACAACTTGACATTCAAGCCAATGTTAAAATAAACTGTATGAACTGTTGTTTCTAAAGAGGGGCAGTAAAAGGCATTTGGTGTTGCTCTGTCAAATACTCAGTCCAACACTTCATGAACCAAGGAGGTATTATCTAAGCAGTTAATTTGCTTTTCAGGCACTGAGACCTCTATAAGAAAAACTGAGTATCTGCAAAAGTTATGTCAGTCTTGTCAAATTACATTATCACTTGCAAAAACCAAAATAATATCTTTTGTTGCTGAGTGTATGATTGAAGTACTCAAGCTCAGAAATCATAAGCAGCTACAGTTAATACAGTAAATTACTTCCAACATTTCTAAATAAAAACTATGAGTTTAATTTCATATATACACAATTGATTTTAATAATGTACCAGAAAATAAATTACAGGAAATAACTTTAAAATGCAACTGAAGACAAATTTTCACAACAAACATTCCCACTGATTTCCCATGGGGTGAGATTGCAGTGCTCAAGGCAGGTAAATATCACAAATATATCAAAAAACTCCAAATTGTTCGATGCATTCACACATTTACATGAGCCACAAACATTCCTTTACAGGGACTGTACTTTTGCCTATCACAGAACCAGGTTTTGCCATAAACTACAAAACTTTGATACAAAATTGTATTTATATATTTATATTTTATACATGCCCTGTGTTTTCTTAAAAAATAACTAGACACACTGTACAGACAATCCTAACTCATTGCTTTGTAGCTGTAGGCAACGGTCTTTAGTTTTTGGATGGAATTTTCCTCCCCCCAGTAATATTAATGGCATATTATATATACATGAAGGCTAAAACTGCAGAGAAAAAAGCTCTCGATATGCATATCCTGTAGGACAAGGTCTTAAAATTTTAAAAGGCAAGACAATGTACACTTGAAGATAGCTTCCTTGGTTACAACTGTTACCTCTAAATGTAATTTCTGTGGTGAAAAATGATACACATGCATCTGGGCAATACTGGTAGAAAAGGCAGTAAAGCAAGGAGCAGCTAGATTGTAGTGGCTCAAACATGACTTCACAGCTGACTGCTACTGCTGATACATCAACTGGATTCATGTTAACAGTTTAAGTGTTCAAAGTTAAACGCTCATCCGGACACTGTGTGGCTACGTACATTCTGTTAAAAGATGTCCTGGTATAGGTTTGATAGCTACTTCCCTGAAAAACCCTTTACAATGAATATGTTTTCATAAAACAGAAGCCACACACACACCCCACCCAAGGTACACAGTACACTAAGTACCACCGTCATGATAACCCTTTTCCTGCCTCCATGGAACTAGGCTGCATCTCAGAAGCCAACCAAGGAGTCTCAATGATCAGTTGCTGCTTCTGCACCCCCACCCTCCTACAATGTGACGGCAGCAAATTGTGAAGCCAGTCAGATTAAACTACTTCACTACAGTCGAATGTAAACTTTGGTTTATTGAGTTCTCATTGTACAGCAAGCAAGTCTAGGATGGGCAGATAGATGAGATGAGATGAACTGTCAATCTGTCTTTAATCTGGTATGCTGAGACATCTGTTCAGTCAGGCCTGCTTTGATAGAGTTTGTAACCGATTGTCTCATGGTATCCTCAATCAAATTATCCCCAACTGGTTTTATCACCTGCAGGATGAGAAATGCACAGAACAAAAGAAACAAAAGGTAACTTAAAACCCCAAGCCTTTGAAACACTGGGGGGAAAATATAAAAAATTAAATAATGGAATATGAAATGTATTCAAAGTGCAATAGTAAACAAAAAAGAAAGGGAAAACAAAAGATGAGCATGGCTACCAGCATGTCGTTACTAATGTTGACAATGTTAAGTGGTTTCCTCCACTGCAGTATATGACTGGACCCAAATTAGCTTATAGGCCTGGGTGCCATTTCATACACTATAATGCTGCATGGAACTCATAGCACTTATGCAACATGGCCCAGAAAGTCCTGCTTACTGTCTATACAAGTGTGAACACTTCAGGATAAAGAAAGGAAAAAGTAAAAATACTGGCTAATTTTTCTTCTTGTTATTGTTGGATGAGAGTCGCTGCCGTTGTGCTGAGGTAAGAGCACGGCGATTCAATCGACGTCTAACAACTTCAAAGAATTTGGAACACACCTAAAATACGAAGCGAGTTGTTAGAAAAGCAGTTGCTAAAAAGCAGGGAGGAAACATAGTCTGGATGTTAAGATAGTCTCCATCGATATTCTCACCTTCTTGGGACTCCTCTGAAGCAGAACATAAAAGATACAAAACACAAAGATTTAGAGTAAGTTAATAGCCAAGCAAGAAGGAAGGTTAAACACTGAACACAAAGATTTGCTTTCAAAATTTGGACAGTAATTGTGTAGGCAAGGTTTTCATACAATAATGTGTGCTCCTGGGGTTCTTGGCCACTTTTAAAACATTTAACAGATATGAAACCAGCTTATGACAAATGAAGTGTAGTGTTTCATGGCATACCAATTTTAGGACATCATAGGACCATGGCCTTTAGAAATTGTTACAGAGTGAGATGCTGATTCCATGACATCCGTTCACTTGCTTACTCAGAATTAACGTTGAAAAATCCCAATAACCAGATTTTGCCATTCTGACTGACTTGGTAGAAGGAAAAAATATAGTCATGATGCTAAACCTGCAGCCGGTTACACATTAAGTATAATTTTTTCACTTGAATAAACAAGGGAAAGCTTCCATGGAATCTGTAGTTTGTCCCCTCTCTTCTGAAATCATTTTTCACAGTGAGGGCCATCTTGCTAATCTAACACTGTAGATCCATTCTTCTAAATCAGTGGCCCCCAACCCAGGTGTTCTTAGACTGCAACCACCAGAAATACCAACAAGCATAGCTAATAGCGAGGGCTTTTGGGAGCTGTAGTCCAAGAACAACTAAGTTACCCGAGGTTGGGAAGCACAGATCTAAATCCAAAAAAGAAAACACCAGCCAACCAGCAGATGGCAATCTAAGAATGTACATTCGATTGAACGTAATTATAACAACATAAACTTAACTCTTAGGAGCAGCCTTTATCTATGCTAAAAAGGTAACACCTTTGTTCCCTTTTGTAACACACATACATGGACTCAAGCCTAACCTAAATCCAACATTGTGCTGGCACTGTTGCTTCCTTTCCATTGCCTTGTCTCTGCAACCCCTGGAAAAAGGTCTAGGTTTTCATACAATAGCCTAGAGTGGTCGCAAGACCAGATAGGCGGGGTACAAACGAAATAAATATATAAATAAATAGGTAAGAGGGTCATAGCCTACCAGAGCAGGTTTTTGGTGTGCAGAAGGGGTTTAACTAAGAAGAGAAAATCACTCCCCTCAGATTCCACTAACAGAAGCCGTTACGGGAATAGAATACTCTTGATCAATGCAAAGCTCACACTCAAAATTTCCTCCCTCTATTTTCATACTAAGGCTGTAAACTTAAACCCACTATGGAATAAGCACATTGGATCATACTTCTGAGTAAACATGCAGGGGGCTGTAAAACAAGAATTAGATTTCACCCCCCCCCTTTCTCCTTTTTTGTTTTAATAAGACTTTTCAGCTTCTTTGAGCTTTATAAAGTTTAAAATAGTTTCTAATTCTAATTATGAACCAGACATTATGCACAAAACTTTGACCAAATAATTAGAAAAACCCTTTTCTGAACTACATATGTAGGTAAACCCAAACTCTCCTCCTCCTAACAGGAACTTCTATTAAGAAATGGAACAGTGTGGGAAGTGATGCTGGGAGTTGCAGGGAAAATCAGTAAAACTAGGTAGGTCCTTCATCCGGAAGGAGCCTTTTCTAGATTCTGGTCCCTCCTTGCATTAAAAAAAGGGGCATTCTGGAGCCAATCCAGACTTGATATATACTAACAGAGAATTTTTTAAATCTGTATATAAGGATCTATATCAAAATGTTCTGCATTTATTATAAGCTGTATTATGCAGAACACAGAACTAGATTCTGCTAATCCTGGTCTTCCTATATTTACTCTGCTTAACTGACTTTTATTCAGTGACATGGCTAACATGATGCACTGACTTACAGCATAGATTTGGAATAACAGGTTCTTCAAATACCCATTTTAAGAAAAAAAATCTCATTGTTGCCTTTAAAAGTTTAAGAACAGCCTTCTACTTATTGGGAGACTGACTCACTTGTATACCTCGGCTTTGTGAATGTTCTCAAAGTCTTATTGTTTGTTTAAGCACTGAGTTACGAAGGTATCCTGGATTGAAAAAGTTATTTTTGCCCAGGTTTCTTTTTTACAAGTTTGTATTTCTGTGTTTATGCAACATTTGTGCAGAATGGCCTTTTGACCCACTTCTGCACAACAGATAAAATGGCCAGCTTCTTCAAGAATGTAAATTGTATTAGATAAAGAGATACTAACCTGTTCCCATAGTACTTCAGTCACCTGGTCGATGAGTGTCCCAATTTCTCTGAATTCCCCAGAGTATTTAACATACGCCCAAGTGCAAAGGGAAACCAATGCTAACCCCATCACAAGGTTACAGAGGGTAGCTATGGAGTTCATGCCAAGGAAGCCAGTCAGTCCTGAGATTATGTACATGGCAAACATGATAGCAAACAGAGTGGCCGGAGTACGAGCAGCATAGAAGATGTTTTTGCCATCATTGTGCTTCACAAAGTTTGCATAGATTCCATCAAGCTCTTCTTCGAGCTGGTCTTGGTAACGGCGACAGAACTCTTCACCTCCCATCTTTTTCACAGAACGGAACTGTTTTATAGCTAATACTTTAAGATCTTGATGCTTTTGCTCTAAGTCAGCAGGAGCAATGTATGGTTTGTCTCCACCACAAACCTGTTAGAAGGAGCAGAATTGACATATTAACTTACATGACTAAGAACTGAACCTGCTGCAAGTGTTAGGCAAAACTAAAGGGAAAGTCACAACAATGCAGCTTAACAGTTAAATGGAGCTGATCTCACAACCACAAATATTACTGGAATACAATGGGCCATTAGCTATAAACCTAGTCTACTTCGTATATTGTTGTAATAAAAAGGAACCAGGTACCCCACTATGAACTCCTTGGAATAAACGTGGGAAACAAGTGCAATAAATCACAATAGTAAAAGCTGGAGGATAACACTTTCCTTCACTGTCTGTTAAAAAGTAGTATTTGAGAGGCAGTATTTTCAGACAGATAACTTGCTTCTGGCTAAATCTGACACATGGATGAGGAGCAAGAGCAAAGAGCATGCGTTCATTTTATATCACCTTTATATTTAGCACTGAATAACAGATTCAGAGTTATCTAAGGTTCCTCTACTGTGCTAACTGAGCAATGTATCTGAGGCGTTGAGGGCATATAATCATTAAGCCATGCATAAGAGACTTGGCAATAGACCCATGGTTTTTCCTACGAGCCTCCCAACTCAGGGGAAATATTCTTCCATCCTACCCACCTGTTCTTAAACGTGAGTCATCATTTTATATGCACCATTAACTACAATAAATAAAACCAGGAATTGGAGATAGTCATGAACCGCCAGTTCATGTTGGTTCGTTTCTCAGCTGAATGGGTGTTCGATGCTTCCCGGTCCCACTCTCCTCTGACAGGCACCAGCCAGAGGTGGGGTTGGGAAGTGCTGAACACCCGTTCAGCCAAGAAACAAACTGGCACAAGGGGGAGGGTTCGGCAATTCATGCCCATCTCTAATCAGGATTCTCTAAACTGCCAAAGCAGTATGCATGGAGTTTAAACAAAGAGGTGATTCAACACAAAAACATTCTCCTGCATTCTTAATGAGGAGGAACATTCCAGGTTATATTATTTTCATGGGTTTAAACTGAAATACTGTACCTGCCCAATGCAGACTTATTTCTTCAAATACTTCTTGATAATAACAGTTAATTCACATTTTATACAATACCTGCTCCATTCCTTTGTTGTAAGTATCTTTTGCTCCAGCTACTGCAGCGAGGTTATTGGCTTCTGCTGTTGCCTTAAATGCAAATTTAAACAGCTAGGATGAGGTTTCTATGGCACCTTTCCTATACTACACAGTGAGACTAATAAATGCCCTCTAAATGCCCCTTTTCTGCTTTCTGTCATTTACTACAGAATCCAACATGCAATGGCAAGATTTGGGGGGAATTCTAGGACATGGTTTGAAATGGTTTTATAAAATTGTTAAGCACATTGTTTTAAGGCAACTTTCCTTAATCTGCTTTTCTTCATTAGTGCCAAGACTCCAACTAGGAATACCAAGTTGAGGTAGGTTACCTCAAGGCCAAGGGAGACACATCAGTATTATAAAATCTGTTTTTATTAGGAGCCTAAGATTCAGAAACAGGAGCAAAATGCAAAATGCAGGCACTGGAAGCAAGGCCAAATTACCTATGGCACCACATGAGTCCCACACTTGGATGCCCTGCCATACACAAAATACAAATTTACTTCTCAGTGATTACTATCAAGATCGACTTAGGCCTACAAATGTTCTTGCTGAACAACTGGGAGCTGAAGATCTTGCTAACCTATTGCAAATCATTTGCCTCTAACTAATCTATTTTGTACCCTCCCTCTATCACCACCAGTGTAAGGAAAAGGAAGTCCGCTCTCAGTAAAGGTATCATAAGAAAACAGATGGGAAAAAACACAATCCTAAAGTATTTGATGGTATTTCATAAGGGGATTGTATGTACAATCTACAGCTTCCGAAACTGTCATTCACCTGCAAATGGTGTCAAAATCTCAGGTATCTCTGATAAAAATCTGGAAAGACAAACTACTGGAAACATCTGCCCGCCCCCCTCAAGTAGATTAATATTAGCTAGCCAGACTATCAGTCTGATTTTGTGAAATAGAAAAGGAGCAGCCTTTTGGTATTAGTAGTAGGATCCAAACACAGGTATTGTCAAACTGAGCAGGACATTTCTGCTCCATAATAACATAAGGGAAGGTGTCCTGGACTACTTTAGTAGTTTATCCAGTTCAGGATTATGCTTGTTTCAGTTGTCATTTGTGTGCCTCTGGAAAACCCCAACACCAGAACATGAATGAAACAATGAATCCCTTATTGTTATTCCACAGTGAATACTGGGATAAAACATAGGCAGGAGAGAGAGACTGGAACAATGGCATTTAAAAATTAACCCAGTTTCTGCACAAGGGTCTACAATGTTGAACTAAAACCTACTGAACAGATGGTTCTCAATCCCCAGATTTTAACACAGATTTGAAATGTTAAGTCCAGCAGTTCTCGGCAATTCACCACACTTTCTCTCTTGGAGGGAGGTGAGGGATCTGGTTGCTGTTTTATGGTTGCAATTGAGGCAGCCAGTTCTATAAACAAATTAGCACAGGCATGTGTGTACACACATCTCCCCATCTGGTCTTTGTTTGAAACAGATACGTTTCTGATGTCTCTGCTAATAATCTATGTTGATGTGATAAAGCCATAAACTCTATGACTTCAGAAAAAAGTGTAAAACTTTACCTGGAGCATCGATTTAGGATGAGGTAGTTCCTCTCCTTGATAGATTTTAATGTACGCCTAAAAATGAAATTTTATTAAATAAGATAAATATCATTAACAATTATCTCAATTATGATCATCCATTTGCCAACATTATATTACAATAACATACAAAAATAAATTCCACTATACCTATATATTCACTGAGCAGCCACAATACTGTAGGGAGGTATAATAGTTAATTATATCCCCCTCTCCAAGACTAGAAGTAATACTAGTTTTGACTGTATTTAGTTATATTCAACGTGTTCCTTGAAAGAGCTCCAATTCATCAGTGGCTGTAATCCTCATAAAAAAATCAGACTCCATGTTGCTCATTTGCTGGCTTTAGATGATAGCTAATTCAAAGTTCCTTGAGATAAACTCTGTACCTGCCACAGGCCAGAGCACAGTATTATAAAGTCAAGGACAGCAGTTCACAGAATGCCCTGGAAACTGAGTGTATTTGTGACACTCTAGTGACATCATGAATGTTACTGACATCAAAATGAAAATAAAGAAACTGAAAGATATGTATTAACCCTGAGTGAGAGCCCCTAGTTTAAACAATATCTGTATTCAGTATTCCTGAAAAATCACAGAGGGGTAACTGCAATTAAAATCTTAGTTACGTAGACAACTCAAGAACTCTTAAGTCACCTTGCTTTTGAACAAAATGGCATAACCTACAGCACTGAGCACCACTGTCTTGCTAATTTCACTGGGCCTCATTAACTCAAACAGGTCTAAGGGATCCAAGCCAAATAGATTTACACATCAATCTATCTAAAGAACCGATCAATAAGCAGAAATATCTGCTTACCTTGAAATATTGCACAAGATCTCTGCAAGTCACCTTTGAGCCACTGATCTCTTTTTCTACCAGATTTTCAGGAGCAAGCAGCAATGGAACCAGATTCTGTAGCTCTCTCTTAAAGTCACTATCAATGTCTAATGGAAGCAGGCAAAGAAAAGGAGTTGCAAGTTTGTCACAATTAATACAATTAATTAAGAATTCTTCTTCTCCTCAAAGTCAATGGTCGAGTAACATTATTCAAAACTTCCTTAATTTAATGAATTACATATCAAAAAAAACTTTGCTAATATTGTATATTGTTGTGAAATGAAACACTGAAAATACTTGATAAAATGGCTACCCATTGCCTTACAATCTAAATGGTACTCATGAATCAAAAAACACAAGATAATGAAATCTTGTATTAATTAATTTTAAAACTCTGCAGTTGTTAAATTTCAACTTGGTCTTCAAATAAACAAATGTAGTAACTTAAATACATCTCCTGATTGGTGGCTGTCTAGCTAGATATTTCATTCTGAGATCAAAAGCAAGCAGAAATTTATCGGCAAAAGTTCTTTGATGGGTACAGGAGTGTCATTTCAACCCTTTCTCACCATATTTGTTTTTAAAATAAGCAACAAGAAAAAGTATTCATCACATCACAGCCAGCAAACAATGTGATGAAGTTCCTTAATAATAGTGCATTTCATGGCTCAAGACACTGTATACCCGTTCTAATATAGCAAGTTTCTTTAAAGCCTTTAATGATCAGACAACTATATACAGTAGATGGACATCACCAGATGGTCAATATAGAAACCTAACAGACCATGTAATTGGAAGTAGAAGGTGGAAAAGCTGTATTCTCTCAGCCAAAACAAGACTAGGAGCAGATCATGAACTGTTAATATCCAACATTAAAGTAAAGCTAAAAAAGAACACTAAAAGACATGTTGCTGAAATATAATTCTAAATAACAGTCCTGATGAATTTCAAATCCACATAAATAACAGATTTGCATTACTAAACGCAATTGACCATGAAACAGAAGAACTGGAAGAAAACCAGATATATTATCAGGGAATAAAGCAAAATGACAATTCCTATAGTGAAAAGAGAAGAAAAACCTAGATGGATGGCAGAATAAATACTTAAAATTGCAAAGGACAGAAACAAAAGTAAAAAGCGACAGGAGTGGGGTCAGAACCCTGAATGCAATTTTTAGACACTACTACAAAAGCCAGTGAAAATAAATATAGGAAGACAATAAAAAGGGGAAAAGAACAGATGCAAACCTAGATTAGGAATGCTGATTACCATCACAGAAGCACACTATCTGACCAAGAGAAAAAAGAAGGTGGAAGCTGTATACCAAAAACCTATACAGAAGGAACAAAAGGATTACAGACTCTCTTTGAAGAA